CCGGCCAGGCAGCATAGCCTACCTGGTGGCTTCTAGGCCAATGAGAGACCTTGTCTCAAAAATAAGATGGTTGGTCCCTGAGAAATGACAGTTGAGGTTGGCTTCTGGACCTCTGGCTCCTACATGCATGTGTATACATGTCCACACACACACACAAACAGAGAGGGAGAGAGGGGGGGGGGGAGAGGGAGAGAGAGAGAGAGAGAGAGAGAGAGAGAGAGAGAGAGAGAGAGAGAGAGAGAGAGAGAAGGTCAAGAGCCCTCAGTGAAAACACCCAGACATTGAGTTAGAAGCATGTGTGGTCACATACTCTGCAGACCAGACAAGAGGCAAATTGCTCAGCCACACCAAAGAACACACTTGCTGGAGCCTCTGCTGTCTGTCCCATCAGACTTCCCCAGCATCCTTGGTACAACGTTAAAGCAGAGTGATGCTGCATGGTGTGATGACAGCCAAGAGCCAGTGGGAATGAGGCCTTCTGCTTCCACCTGGAGGAGAAGCAGGAAGAATGGAGCTTTGTCTACCACATTTGTCTAGACAAGCCAACCTCTCATCTGCTGTTTGAGGCTGTGACAGAGGAAACAGGAAAAGAAAACCACTGTGTTAGGAGTGTAATAATTGTAAAAAACAAACAAATAAACAAACAGCCTAGTACCTTTGTGGGCTAGGTATCAGGAGTGAGATGAAGGACCCTGGTGGAGGGCAAAGGTACACAACAGCATCAAAGCCACCGAAGGTCTCCTCTACATCTTTGACAAGACCTGACAGAGATTCAAAACTCTCTGCAGAAATGGTGGTTTGTTGCTTTTTGTTTGTATGGTGCTAGGGATGGAACCCTGGCCCTTGCACATGCTAGGCAAGCCTTCCACTATGAACCACATCTCTAGCCCTTCATGTGGCCATTTTGAGTATATGATCTAGAATGATGCTAACAGAAATGTAATCCAAACTCATCCACATCCAAACCTTAACTATTGACTAGGAAATAGGCTGTGAAGATGGTAGTTTAGCTCATGTGCGCCGGGCCTGGGCACAAATCTATTTTCATTATGGCCTCCACATCCATATGAATGCTTCCTAAACCAACAGTTGTAGCATGAATCTTAAAAGTTCTTATTAATAGAATCAAACCTGAGGCCAGTTATTGGGGTGAACTGGAAGATCAGAGAACTAGAACAAGCCACAGCTACCTCACCTCACCGGATCCTCAGCTTGTCTTGTTTCCTCAGACTGGAAGCCTCTGTGTCCTCATATCCAAATGGCTCTCAGCTGAACTGCTGCTCGAAAGCCTGAACGCTTAACCAGCCAAATGCCTCTAGTTTCTGGTCCTCATGCCTTATATATCTTTCTGCCTTCTACCACCACTCCCTGGGATTAAAGGCTCGCTTTCTAGGATTAAAGGTATGAGTCACCATGCCTGGCTATTTCCAATGTGGCCTTGAACTCACAGAGATCCAGAGGGATTTCTGTCTCTGGAATGTTAGGATTAAAGGCATGAGTGCCACCATTTTCTAGCCTCTGTATCTAGTGGCTATCTGTTCTCTGACCCCAGATAAATTTATTAGGGTGCACAATATTTTGGGGAATACAATACCACCACAAACAGTGTGGCATTGTGCAGGTGGCAGAGGATGTGAGGGAGTAAAGGTACCCTGTAGCATCAAAGGTTTCAGCAAGGAAGCATCAGTCAGAACCAAGCTCCCAGGCTTTGGTCAGGTCTATGCCGCTCTGCCACATCTGTTGCTCTAGGTCCAGTATCCTGGATAGTTTTTATGTCAACTTGACACAAGCTTGAGTCATCTGAGAAGAGGGAACTTCAACTGAGAGAATGCCTCCATAACATTGGACTGTGGGTAAGCCTATAGGGCATTTTCTTAGTGATTAATAAAGGAGGATCCAGCCCATTATGGGTGGGACCACCCCTGGCCTGGTGGTCCTCAGTTCTATAAGAAAGTAGGCTGAACAAGCCATGAGAAGCAAGCCAGTAAGCAGCACCCCTCCACAGCTTCTGTATCAGCTCCTTCCTCCAGGTTCCCACCCGGCTTGAGTTTGTGCCTTGGCTTCCCTCAATGGACTGTGATTAAGGATATGTAAGCCAAATAGGCCCTTTTCTTCCCAGGTTGCTTTTGGTCACAGTGTTTCATCACAGCGATAGTAACCCTAACTAAGACAGCAAGAGTCAGCAAAATGCTTTTCTATGAAGAACGCCAGACAGTATTTTCAAGACTGCATGGCCTTGGTCACAACTCTTCAACTTTACCACTGTAGCATAGAAGCACCATGGACAAAATGTATTTGAATGGGTATGCTGTGTGTGTCAATAAAACTTTATTTACAAAAGGAAGTAGTGGGCCTGATTTGGCCCCAGGAGTGCTGTTTGCCAGTGTCTGCTCTAGGGTTTTGGAGTTTATAAAGTTTATACAGTCAGCAACAACTAAACTGGGACTAAATGAAAAAGAGGTCTGTATCTTTCTACATACTAGCCAACCTCCACATAACTACTGCTGTTCACTGGGTCAGGGTTATATGGGTCTCACTTATGCCCAGTTTTACCTTTGCTGCCAGAAATCTATCCCTATCTCCAAAATACTTGATGTGTCCCCCCGCCCACACACACACACTGCATATCCTATTATACATCCTTACTGCTTCATGCCCAGATCCATCTACTTCCCTAAGCCTGACATGAGATACTGATGGATGTAAACAATGAACCAGTGTCACCATCAGGGACATGTCTTTTTGAGGTTAAAATCACAGACTTTAAGCATGGCTCCAAAGATTCCCTCTCCAAATGGTGTGAGTATGGAACCAGAAGGCCACCCTTGAGTGTTTCTTTTGCTTGTGAAAATTGGTTAGGGTTTTTTTTTCTTTAATTATGGAAAATAGTTTTCATAAAATAGAAGAAGGGTGGCCAGGGGAATGGCATAGTTGAGAAATCATAGTGTCTCGTTTCCTCAATATGATTTATGTTTACCTCCAGCCAGACCAGCACTCCCGAGCGAGGGCAATACCTCACCCTGTAGATACTGCAGATCTTGGCACCATGGATAGCACACAGGGAATGCCTTTAAAATACCTGGGGCTGACAGCTGCTGTTCCCTGGGGAACAGCCATGACTAACCCAGCTGCCAAGCTGCGAGTCTGCAAGTCACTGGAACATACATTGAAGATCTCTTTTATCTCACTAACCGACTACAAATGGCTGGCTGGAGACAAGTCAGGGTTTCTCTTATCCCTTCCACCTCCTAATTTAGTGAGCTTCTTTGACTACAGGCTAATGATTCCTCCTTGTGTTCTTTCAGGGAGAGAGTCCTCCCTAGAGAGGACTAGCCGTTGCTGTTATTCTATCTTGCAGTACTCTCTTGATATAAAGGAGGTGGGGAATTTGGGTGGTTTTTATTTCTTTCTTTCTTTTTTTTTTTTTGGTTTCACAAAGGAGACTGAGGATTTCATGGCCTGATTTAGGTCAGGGTGCTCGAGGTGGAGGGAGGAGAACGCCACAGGGGACCCAGGCACTTTAGAAATCCAATCTGCCTTACCCCAGCAACCTCAGAGAAGCAGGACAACTCAGCCCTCCTGGGTGGCAGTCACCTCTACAGACAGATGGAGAAGTGGGAGTTTCTCAGTGTCTGGATAAACCAGAATTCAGCTACAGGGCAGACAGGACTGTTTGGTGCTTCTGTTTTCTCCTGCTGAGCCCACTGTCCCCCACTCTGCAAAGCCAAGTGTCCACACAAACCTACACAAAGGGGTCTACCATGTATTAATTTATGTCACCTTCGCGGTGACCCCATGTAAAGGTACCTGGTGTCCCCCACTCTACAGATGAGGAGGCTGAGGCACAGAAATGCTAGGGTTCTTGTCTGAGGACAAGCAACTTACAACTTATAAAAGCAAAGCTGGGACTCAAGCCTAGGCAGTCTAGCTCTGAGCCCTCCCAGTCCACAAGTTGCCTCTCTGTGCATCCTGTCTTAGAAATGAGCAGGACTTTAACACCTCTCTCAAGCAGTGCTCCTGAGAGCACAGAGCCCTAGGTCTAGGCAGATCAGGAAGGCCTATGTCCAGTTGTTAGGTTTTGTACCTAGAATGATATATCCCAGGGATGGAGGAAGGGTCTGCCATCACAAGTCATGGGATCACCCATGAAAGTATCCATGTGACTCAGCCCTAGACTCCTAAGAGGGTGGTCTTCCCATTATCTTCCTGAGACTCAAGGTAAAACACACAATTAATTATACTTCAAACTCAGTCCTTTTCTCAGGAATGAACTCAAAAAATCAACAAATAAGAAGCAGAGAAACAAGCATATGAGTTCTGATGTAATACCTTAAGTATCATTTGTGGGCTCCCTCTTGGTGACCATTCACATGGAGCCATATACCCATACCTGACTTTAATCTGTGATCACATGCACATCTTAGCAAGACAGCTGGCATGGGTTATGACTTCAGTGATGCCAACTTTTACTTTCTTAAAACACCAGACAGACCGATGGGCAAAGGCTGCCAGAGAGATCCCCTAGGAGAGCCAAAGACCAGAGAAGATTTGATGTGGGCATCTAAGCTACTCCAACAGTGCCTCAAGGCATGGCTGCTGCAGCATTCAGGAACAGAGAGGCAAGGGACAGAAAGGCAACTAGTCCAGGACTAACAACTGTCCCCCAAAGGTGGGCACTCTCAGCATTCTACCTTACCCCTTACCCCCCACCCCCAGCGCGTATCGCACACATATTTCCTCTAACAGCTGGCCAGAGAAAACAAGCATACAAAGACAAACAGGGACCCTCACTCATCATACCCCAGTGGTAGCTTCAAGTCTCATAGTCAGACCTAAAAAGTTTATCATTTAAAGTGACAGATGTCAGCTATCACATCTCAGGTTAGTCCCGCTCAGAATAACATGGAGAAAGAGATCAGACAGACCCATGCACACACACACACTGACAGACAGACCTCCACTACCAGAAGACTGCTTCCCACTCTCTGGCCGCATCCTACCTGCTTCCATCAGCTGACATTGTTGGCCAAAGACACGGGAGAAGGTAACCCGGCCTGTGGGGGAACTGGATGCTGTCAGCACCGACTCCATGATGGTCGTAGGTCCTTGCTGTTGGTCTTGTGGCTGTGATGGGATACTTAGTGTCCCACCAGCAGACTTTATCACTATCCCAAGAACAGTAGTAGATTTGGGGCCACTTGTCCCCTTCAAAAAAAAAGTCCCCGCCTCCAAAGTTTACAAGACGTCTTGCCCTCAGCACTCTTTTGCCTCGAACCCTGATCAAGTGAGAAATGACACCCTGAAGGTTCTGCAAACCTAGGGAGCTGCAAGCCTTAGCTGTAGAGCCCAATCTAAAACGCCCCAACAGGAGTTACTTCCTCTGTCCAGGAAAAGAGCCTGGATGGGGACGAGCCTCTCCTGTGACTAGAGAAGAGACAATTGCTGCTCAGCTCTGGACCACACTGGCTAGAGAGGGCTCCAGCCCTGCTGCGTCCCAGCACCAGCTACAGGCAAAGCGCTGCCCAGGCTCCCTGGGGAGCTGGCCTCACAGGCGGCAGTCCTGGGCTCCTGGGTCCTGACTGGATCTCCGCGGCTCTAGGGGTCTTCTGGGTCCCAGGGACCGCTGCAGCCTGGGGAGACAGCGAAAGGCGTGCGTAACAGCTTGAGCGGAGGCTCTGCAGCTGGGGGGCCACCGTTGTCGCTGGCTCATCCTTCACTCCTCCAGATGCCTTTGCCTTCCAGTTCTCCGCAGCCTGGCCTGGCAGTGGGAATCCGGGGAATGACACATGCTGACAGAGCTCCTGCTGCGACCCACTGCAGCGGGTGTCCCTAGTCCGCTTTGCTACCCCCTTTTCGTGATGCAGAAGGGGCTGTTACTTGGAGAGCTCCTGGATGTGGAGGGAAGTGCTAACTCAGCCCAGCGGGCTCCAGGGCTGGAGTAACCTCTTCATGTCCACAGCCAAGGAAGCGCCAGACCTGGGACACCAGACTGCTGGCAATAGAATTCATAGATCCAGGAGAGAAAAGCTGAGAAATGTCATCCATTCCCAGTACCCTGGAGGGAGAGAGCGGAAGAGGGACTGCATCTCAGTCACCCTAAGTCACCCTGGGCTAGGAGCAGAATGTTTAGCCCCACTACTCCAACCAGAAGCACAGTTTGTCTGGAAAAGGGGCGGGGCGGGGGGCGGATACCTTCCTCAGGATCACAACCCCTGCCTGGGTGGGCACTGGGTCTTGAAGTCCGCCCCCGACCCCAGCTGAGGCCCAAACGCAGGGCCGCTCTACCACTGAGCTAAATCCCCAACCCCCAAAAAATGCTTTTAAAGACACTGCTCCACCTCACTCTAGCTCAGTCCTGGTGGTACTTGCTCTGGGGATTCAGCTCCAACACTGCTGGGACTGGCGCTGGCAATCACCTGGTTCTAGGCAGAGCCCGGAGCACCTGGAGCCAGAGAGAAGGCATCCAATCAGCCCCCTGCAGTCATCTAAGCACTACTGTTTGTATAGCCTCTTCAAGATTGAAGGTGAAGCTCCTTTAGGGACACACAGGCTCTCTGACAGGAAGGAGCCTTTCCCATGCCAGTCCTTGGTCAGCAAAGGTGACCTAGGTAGGTGCTCAGGGTCACCTAGGAGCCAGAGGAAGCCATGAAATAGCCCCAGAACTCAGATGTAGTCTGATTTCATGTTGGTGTCTGTTTTGTTGTTTGTTGGTTTGGTTTTTGAGACAGAGTCTCACTATGTAGACCAGGCTGGCCTCTGCCTCCTGAACACTAAGGTTAAAGGTGTGCACCAGCACCTACAGCTTGTCTTCAGGTGTCTTAAATGATGGAGCACCTCTTTTCCTGTCACAGACAAAGCTCTCTTTCACATCATGAAACCATAGGACACCTCTTTTCCTGTCACAGACAAAGCTCTCTTTCACATCATGAAATCACAGGACAACAGAGACCACTCTCTGTGACAGGGAGGGAGAGGGTTCCAGAGGAGCACAGACTGGAAACAGAGGAAGTCTTGACTTTTGGTAAGAGGGGGAAATGGACCACTTTCCAGGGACCAGGGTAACCATGGTGCTACCTAGTACTCAAAGTCATCAGGCTGTACACTGTCCTGTTGGATAAATAGAAGCACTGTGAACATTTAAACCAGGGTAAGCGGCATAGGCCAGTGTGCCTGGGTCTGCACAAGAACTTCCCTAGCTGCATACCTGGGCATGGGATTACACTACTCAAAGATATATACAAATTCTATTTCACTAAATGCTTTCAAGTACTGCAGAGTGTCTGGGCTGGTTTATATTGGACTAATCCTGTACATGGTACTAGTGTAACTAGTACTGATTACTACATGTGAAATTAATATTACCACACTCCCATGTCTTTGACAGTAATTGCTCTTGGCAAAAAAATAAATAAAAAAGAGAAAAAAAAAAACAGGAAGCTGGGAAATGCAACAAGTGTCTTCCATTTGAGTTCATTGTTTTGCTTTGCTCTTTGTTAATTACTAAAAAGACAGAGTACTTCCTGGAGAGCGTATTAGCCCCTCACTTTCCCTCTCAGGAAAGTTCCTGTTCAAGCTCTCGCCCATTCTTCTGGTCCTGCTCTGTCTCCCAGCTTTCTGACTGATTGACAAGAGCTCTTTGTGACGGCTACACATTAAACACTTGTTTACCCCCGGGCCTTGCCAGGGCCTCCTCGCTGTAGCTCATCAACCTGCAGTTTTTGCCCTGGTGTCTTTCTCTAACTAGAAACAAGCGTGGTCGGACTTACAGTCTGATCTGCTAATCTTGCCGAAGACATTCTTCCTAACATCTGGGTCACAAAGTCAGCCTCTTTTGCAGCTTTACCTCTCATGCTGTGATGGTTAATTTTAGTTATCACCTGGACACAATCTAGAAACACCGTGGGTGAGATCCTCACCGAGGGACTGTCTAGATTGGGCTGGCCTTGTGGGTATGTCCATGGGGAATTATCTTGAGTATATTAACTGAGGTGGGGAGACCCTGCCCACCGTGGGTGGCATCATTCCCTAGGCAGAAGAACCTGAACTGATTAGGAGTGCAGAAAGGGTGCCATCTAGATAACTCATTTGGTAAGGGCACTTGCCTCAAAGCCCAACGACCTGAGTTCAGTTCCTGGGAAGTACATGGCGGCAGGAGGATACCAAGTCCCACAAGTTGCCCTCTGATCGCATGCATGCCATGGCGTGTGCACATGCACACACACGGAAATAATAAATGGAAAAAGAAACTGAACAGACGAGTGGAGTGTGCGCATGAAAACATTGAGTCATTGCCCTCTGCACTTGACTGTGAATGTCACGTGACCAGTTGCTTCGATTTCTTGCCCCTTTGACTTGCTGACCATGATGAACTGTAACCTGGGACTGTGAGCTGAACCCTTTCCCCTCTACACTGCTTTTTCCAGGGCATTTTGTCACAGCAATAGGAAACAAAACTGAGACACATACAGAGTGTTTTTAGTCTATGAGGGGCCTACTTATAGATCTGGTATTAAGCAGTGGCAGGTTCTACCACCCCCAATATTCAAACCATCTTTTTCTCCTCTGCAATGGACTGAATGTGCCCTCCCCACCGTGTTATATATTAAAATCATAACCCCAAATATGGAGGCTTCTAGAGGTTAGGGTACTGGGGAGGCCAATTAGATTCTGAGGATGGGGCCCTCATGAATCAGGTCAGTGCCCTTATTAAAAAAAAAAAAACACCAGAGATCTCCTTTGCTCTCTCTACCATGTGAACACAGTGAGAAGTAGGCAGTCTACTATCCTAGAACATCCTCACCAGAACCATACCCTGCTGGCACATTCAGCTCAGAGTTTCAGTCTGAAGACTAGCAAGAAACGGGCATTGCTGTCTAAGCCAGCCAGCCTAAGGTAGACTGAGGCCCTACCCAGCCTGCCCCACTGTGGCCTCCATATCATCATGCAGTCTATTCCAACAGATGTGGGATGACCTCTCTGCCCTGTTCTATGGATTCCCAATACTATGCTATCAATGTTAGCATTTTCAAGTTACTTACCAACATTTCTGTGTATAATTTCTTTGTATATGTGCACGTGTTCATGTGTGTACACATGCATGTTTGTTTATGCATGGGGGTAATCTCAGACGCCAACCACTTGTTTTTTGAGACAGGCTCTCCTCATTGGCCCAGAACTCAACTGTTCAGTTGGTGTAGGAATTTCCTTTCTGCTGCTGTGATAACACACCCCGATAAAAGGCAGCTTAGGGAACGAGGGTCTTACTTTAGCTTACAGGTCCAGAGGGGAGACAGGACAGCAGGAGCCTAAGACCCGCCTAAGAGTTGGGAAGCCGGCTGAACATATTCCACCCACATACAGGAAGCAGAGAGAAAGAATGGGAAGTAGGGGGAGGCTATAAACCCTCAAAGCCCACCCCTGGTGATGTACTACTTCTGTCAAGGCCCTTCCTCCTAAAGGTCCCCTAACTTTCCCAAACAGCTCCATGGACTGGGGACTAAGTTCAAACACTTGAGCCTATGAGGGACATTTCTCACTTAAATCACATCACCCAGTGAGCCCTCCAAGTCCCCCCATTTCCACCTTTCTAGTGTAGGGATTACAAAGCCATGCTGCCACACCGAGCTTTTTATATGGGCTCTGGGGAATCAAATTTAGGTCCTGTGTTTGCACAACAAGCCCTTTACCAACTGAGCTATTTCTTAGCTCAGTAATCATCATCTTAAGAAGTCTAGGCTGGGCGGTGGTGGCTCATGCCTTTAATCCCAGCACTCGGGAGGCAGAGCCAGGTGGATCTCTGTGAGTTCGAGGCCAGCCTGGTCTACAGAGTGAGATCCAGGAGAGGCACCAAAACTACACAGAGAAACCCTGTCTCAAGACACCAAAAAAAAAAGTCTAGGTTTCCTGATAAGTCAGATTTCTAGCACCGAACCTTCTTGCCTCATGCTCAGTCAGCTGGTGAAGCAGAGACCCCCTTCCCTTGGGTCCAGCCTACAACACAGCTTACACCTCACAGATAAGGATGTGTTGAGGGTTAGAAACAGCTTTAGAAAGGAAAGCAGAGAGAAAACCATTACTAGGGGTGTCATTGGCTAATGGAAAGGGCTCTTCTTCCCTCTTTGCTGGGTCATTGATCAAATACCTAATTGATACCCAACTCTAGGCACAGGTAGATGGACGACAGGAAGAGGAGAAAAGAGGGAAGATACTGGGAAAGGCAACATACTTTC